CTAAAAACTGAAACCGTTCACGATGGTGAGCGTTACACTGTACCGATGCTGTGGAGTGATAATGATGTTAGCTTGCCTAACAATTATTATTCTTCATTAGCCCAATTAAAGTCGTTAGAGAAAAGATTAGATAAAGATCCGTTACTTCGCGAGAAGTATACCGAAACAATCAGAGAAGATATAAGTAAAGGATATGTCATAACCGTCAACCCGCACAATCCCAGCTCACGAGCCGAACGTGAGTGGTATCTTCCACACCATCCGGTTTTGAACCCGAACAAACCCGGCAAGTTGCGCCGTGTGCTCAATGGAGCATCCAAATTTCATGGCACTTCCTTAAATAGATCTCTCTTGGTTGGCCCGGATCTCCTTCAAAATCTTATTTTTGTACTGTTGAGGTTCCGTCATTACAAGTACGCCGTCTCAGCGGACATAGAAGGTATGTTCTTACAAGTTGGAGTACTTGCGCGAGATCAACCGTCTCTCCGTTTTTTGTGGCGGGAGGACCCCACTTCAAGTGTGGTGGTTCACCAATACACCCGTCATATTTTTGGCGCTCGTGATTCGCCAACTTGTGCGAATTTCGCGCTACAAAAAACTGCTTCTGATAATCAAGCTGAATACCCATAAGCCGCTTCAGCCGTTGTCCAGAAGTTTTACATGGACGACTATCTTGACTCGTTCGAAAATACCGCTGACGCTCTTAGCCTAAGTAAAGACTTAGTCGCAATGCTCAAATTAGGTGGGTTTAACCTGACAAAGTTTGTTAGCAATATACCCGAAGTTACAACCGCTCTTAATCCGGACAACCGTGAGTCCAACCCGTCAGTTAAGGATATTTGTAAGAGTCCAGACCAATCGTCGCATGTTCTTGGTCTCAGGTGGGATCATGTAAAAGATACCCTAGTAGTAAGTAGAGGTGTTGATCGACCACGAGATAAAGCAATTACTCAACGCACCGTGTTGAGTTTTGTTTCCTCAGTTTTTGATCCAATAGGACTGGTAGCTCCATATACTGTGAAAGCGCGCCTTTTACTGAAAGACATATGGAGAATCAGTAGTCAAAAGTGGGATGATGATCTCCCAGAGGAAATTAAACAACAATTTCTAGATTGGCACTCAGGACTTCCACTATTAGGTACACTGACGATACCTCGTAGCTACTTTACCGAACCGTTTGACCGCTGTGAACTTCACACGTTCGGTGATAGTTCGCAGGACGTTTTTTGCGCCGTATCGTTTCTCCGAGCCCGACTTGCTAAATCGCAAAAGACCGAGTTAGCTTTTGTATTTGGGAAAGCCCGTGTAGCGCCTATGAAGATGCTCTCCATTCCCAAGTTAGAGCTTCAGGCTGCTCTGCTTGCGACTCGACTCAAAGAAGAGATTTTGAAAGCGCTTACTTTCAAAGTAAGCAATGTATTCATGTGGACTGATTCTACCACCGTTCTCCAGTGGCTTAACTCGTGCAACAAACTTCCTGTGTTTGTTGGAAACCGCATTGGTGAAATCTTGGAGTCCACCACCATTGATCAATGGAATCATGTACTCAGTGGTGATAACCCAGCTGATACCGGCACACGAGAGACTTCTTCGGAAGCCCTCAAGGATAGCAGCTGGGTTAGAGGCCCTAGTATATTGAGGACATGTGATTGGCCATTCAAGCCAAACACTGATGTCATCAAAAAGATCCAATTAAAAGGCCCACTCTGTGACATTGATACATGCCTTGAGACTGCATCTACGTTTGTTGTTGATGCTTCATCTGAGAAAGCGCCGTCGATCCGTCTGTTTAAAAATTGGGCTAAATTCAGCTCAATTGTAAAGTACAAACGTGTTTTAGCGTTTATGCTTCGTGTGCTACCATCGCATAAACACTTCCGTACAAAAACGCTTGAAATAACCGACCCGTCCGAGTTAGATATTGCCGAGCAGAAGCTCATTTATCTCGCTCAGTCCGAATCATTTCCTGCCGAAGTGAAAATACTTCAGTCCGATAAACTGATAACAAAGAAAAGTCGGATTGCTAAATATTCTCCGTTCATCGGCCCAGCTGGCATCCTGCGTTCAATTGGACGTATCAGCCGTCTTGTTGATACCGACTTTGATAGCAAACATCTAATAATACTGGATGATCGACACCGAGTTGCTCATATGTTGATTAGGCATATGCACTTTCAACATGCACATCAGGGGTTGGATTACATGCGTGCTGTAGTTCAATTGAAATACATTGTTCTGAAGTTGCGCTGGTTACTTGGGAACATCGAAAATACTTGCATAACATGCCGTAAGCGCAAAGCAAAAACAGTTGTGCCCATTATGTCTGACCTACCGATTGAAAGACTGGGTTACAAGCAGCCTCCCTTCTCCAACACAGGTGTTGATTACTTTGGCCCGTTTCAAGTGCCAATACGCCGAAGTACCGAAAAGAGATGGGGTTTCCTATTTACCTGCCTCACGACTCGAGCAGTTCACATCGAGTTGGTTCCATCTCTCGATACTAGTTCCTGCGTCATGGGCGTAGAGCGATTTATTGCAAGGCGAGGTACCCCCAAAACCATTCTTTCTGACAATGGCACGAATTTTGTTGGTGCTCAAAAGGAGCTCCTATCCTGTGTCCAAAATTGGAACAAAGTCGCCCCGGCCGTTTTCGTCCACAAAGGCATTAAGTGGAAGTTTAACCCGCCCAGTGCCCCTCATCACGGTGGCGCCTGGGAGCGGCTAGTGAGAAGTGTTAAGCGAGTGTTGTACGACATATTAGGCAACAGGAGATTAACTGAGGAAGTTCTAGGAACAACGCTCTGCCTAGTTGAACAATTACTTAACGCAAGACCGATCACTCCGGTCAGTTCCGATCCGCACGACCTAGAGGCACTCACCCCGAATCACTTCATTCTCGGTCACAGCGCAGCTAGCTTCCCGTCGTTAAGTTTCGAAGATAACTTTGATTATAAAAAGCGTTACGCCAGAGCACAATCGTACGCTACCGCAGTTTGGTCACGCTGGCTGCGTGAATATGTACCATCTCTCAACAAGAGAGCAAAGTGGCAAAATGATTCGGATGTCACACTGAAAACCGGCGACTTGGTTTGGGTAGTCGAACCCGACAGCCCACGTGGGCATTACCCACTCGCCCGTATTACTAAACTACACTACGGCAAAGACGGATGCGCCCGATCCGCCGACATAAAGACCGTTACGAGCGAACTGACCCGACCAATCGTAAAACTCGCACCTGTTCTTCCGTCTTTAGGGGCGGAGGATGTTGCAGCGCAAATATAAAACAATAGTACAAATGCATATAAACGTAAATGTGCGAAAGTATAAATGCATATAAATGTAAATGCATACAGGGACAGTAGCCAAGCGTATACATGGTGCGTCCCGGCGGGTTCGGCGCCGGTTCGAATCCCGACTAGGTCATTTCCTTTCTAGAACTCGAATGTGCACCGAACCTGATGGGATGCTCCGTAACCAGGTTCGGTCCCCCCCCCCCCCCCCCAAACCGATTTTAACCGTCTTTTCGCTCTAATTTGGTTCAGCCTTGATTAAGGCTGACCTTTAAAAAGAGCAATTTGTCTCAAGGACAAATACTGGCCATTTTTGCAGCTTGCTCTGATTTATGCAGTTGTTTGTGGCCGATGTTACCGATAACAATAAAAAAGTTTTGTTATGAAATCTCGTTGTTACCGAGTTTTTTTGCCGATAAAATGCTCGAATTAAATTGTTTGAAATTCGATATTTTTACAATCCGTGGAGATTGAGCGCACAACATCGTAGAACAGGTAGGAGAAGATTGAAAATTTGAATCTAGATTGAATTTCTAGGACTTTAAAAGTAAATTGAACGGAGGGTGAAAACTACATCTACCATTTGTACGATCAAACAAGGTGTTCAGATTCCTTAGGCGTGACGGATTTCCAACCCACTACGCGATAAATAGGCTGTAAGGGAATATAACGACGGCCAAAAATTACATGGCGCAAACAGCACAAAAGCCCGGCTGTGAAAATTGTTGTCTGTAAAGCACGCAAGATTCTGTTGCCCTTCTGTTGCAAATTTTTTGGAAATATCACAAAACAGTTTTTTGGAAAATTCAAAAGGGAATTCCTCGGATATTGTCGTGTCAGGTAATCTTTGCCGCCGCGCGCCGCCCCTGCAAAAATTTGGTTGCGGATTTTGCAGCTTTTGTTTAAAATTGCTTAAATAGGCTTGTGCAGTAGCGGATTTAGGGGGCGGGGGGAGGGCGGACGCCCTCTACTCGGGAATTCGACCCCCTGCCGACCCAAGGGGTCCCCCCTTTGTACTATTTTGAGATATCCATTATTGGTCATGCACCCTAAAATTTTTCTAAAGACGCCTATAATTTTGAGGGAGGTGCGCGCGCCAAAAAAATGCGATTTTTTGGTCAAAATTTTCCAAAAAGTGCCTAAAAACGCCGTTTTTGGCTTTTTATTAAAGGTTTGCCTGCGGCACACAAAATTTGGACAAATTAAATTAGGGTGATTTGGAGGACCTAAAAAAAGGTCGAGAGAACAAAATTTTCAAATATTTTTTCTAAAACCCCCCCTCCCTCGAGAAATTTCTAGATCCGCGCCTGGGCGTGTGCATGGATTCTTTATTAACTCTAACCTGACTTTTTCAAAAATGACACACCTAGGCCATGTAATGGGAACGCTGGTTTTAAAAAAGTTCTGGTTATATCACGCTTCAATAATGCATCAACCTCCTGTGATAGTGTTGTACCAGTAAGTAATGGTTCTTAATTTTCCAACGAAGGGATGAAACCGAGTAACAAATGAAAAACCTCGATATCTTGTCCCGACCACCCCCTTTGAGCTCACTCGCTTCGATCTCAATAAATTTTGCTGTAATAACTTTTTTGCTCTCGTCAAGTGACCTTGGGGGTGGCTAGGGCTGGGAAAGAACAGGGTTTTCACCTATGTTGTAGTAAGGGTATAGTTACAATGTCACTAAATTCAATATAATTTAATTTTTACCTTTTTCATTAGCGCTCGCAGTTATTTTGTTGCCACTGCTTCCCTTGTTGATTCTGGCAATCAGTTCCTCTGGATTGTCGCACCTGGCAAAGTCCTGGCTCAACTGGACCAGTGTCTGGAAGAAGAGCTTCAGGAAATCTGACTGACCGTCTGCGTATGTTTCCGATATTTGCTGGAAGCTAAGACGCAGAACATGCTTTAATAAGGTCAAAAACAAATTAAATGAAGGGGCTACAATTCGTAACAGACGACAATTCGTAACAGACGACAATTCGTAACAGGCGACAATTCGTAACAGGCGACAATTCGTAGCAAGGCATTGGCACGTAGAATACACTTGCTCCGCTGCGCTTACATACGGCACGAGAGGAATACTGCGCGTGAATCAGTGTTCCACGCTTAATCTACTCTTACGAATTGTCGCCTGTTACAAATTGTCGTCTCACAAATTGGATTAGTTCCACAAATGATCAGTTTTAAGCTAAGCGCATCAAAAAGTCAAACATGCAGCATGCAGGTATTGTAAGGTTTTGATAAAACACTTCGCCGAAGCTTGGTGTGGAAAATATTCCGATCTGTCATGTCTTACCTTTGTAGAAGACTAAAAATTCGGCAAACCGAAAGTAGTTAGTTGCTTTACATGTAACAAACAATATTCCGAACTTTCATCGCAATTTTTTTCAAAAAAAAACTGAAGCTTCAAAATTGTATAATTTTTTTAAAACAAATTTGCCACAGGAAGAAAGTTTCGAGAAACTCATCTAACAGAGTCGTTTTTGGGCATTTTTTGACCTGTCTCCCGATTTAAAAAAGTCAAAGCTAGCATAAATTCTTTTTTCTCAATTTTTGAATTAGTCGAATCAAGAATTCAAGAATTTGGAATAATGAGCTGTCACCCTGTCTTTGAATTAAGTAAACAATATGATTTTGGCAACAATACGAAAACCCCTTGCGATAAACCAGATAATTTTTCGCCAGTTTGACTGCCCTGATTTTCAGTCTATAAAGTTGCATCATTGCACTCACTTATTCAGAATAATTTTGGTCTCTGTCGAGATCTCACTGTTGAGGAGCTGCATCAGAATGGTCTGCAGAGGTTCCAGTGCGAGAGTCTCATCATCTGCCATCTGCTGCTCGAAGAAGTCCAGCTGGATCTTCAGTGCCTCCGCAGCCGAGGTCTCCCCGATGTTCTTCGTCGAATTAGTCACCACTGATAAGGAGGGGAAAATCAAGCACATGTGAATAATAATTGCGAAATAGAAATGATTTTGATTCCTCAATTAGAATAGAAAAATTACATCAATACATTTACAAATGAACGTTTTTTAAACGAATGGATTTAAGCTATCATTTGTTGTATTAAAAAACAGTATCTGATTAACCGTTCAAAAAATTAGGGTTCTCAAGATTTCGGAACAGAGGCTAGTGTGAAAAAACAGATGGATCAAATTTACAAGAACAAAAAACTTACAAATCGTCTTTCAGCAATGTGGACGATTCTCTTAAAGAAATATGATTCTCTGCATGAACTGAGTTTTAAAAGGTTTCTTGAGTTTTTTGTCATCTACTGTCTGTTTGAATAAGTGGGTCTCTTCCATATATCTCGCTTTTGCAAAAGAGGGGAGATTCGTTACTAGATTTATAACTCTCATATGCTTAACCATTGAGTTATTTCTTTTTACGGGGATATTTGTTAGTAGGTATCCGAGGGGGGATATAGTTGAAGAAATCCGAAAGAGTATATCAGCCTTAGTGTTGTGATAAACTTATTAAATAGCATATATTGCTGTTTACTAAGTGTTTCAGAAGTAAATTGATCGACGAGTCAGATACACTGGGCCCAATTTCTGGGTTTTTAGAGATCTGATTTACGATAGTTGTTGCCTAAACTAGGGTACATCAAGTCATTACAAAAAAGTGACCAAGCCCAGATCAAGGCCGGAGCTCATCAACTTATTTCAAAAAATGAACAAGCCCAGATCAGGGCTGAAATTTTGAAAGCATACAATTAACAATTCATCAAACTATTACGAAGAGTGAACAAGCCCGATTCGGCCGAAGAGCGAACAGGGCAAAATTTTTGAATTCAAAAGAATACAATAAACAGCCTTCAATCCATACGATAGTTGGAGAACCCATACAACCGTCTAAATAATCTTGCGTAATAATCAGTTGAGGGCCACGGAATGCTCTGAGAATGTAGCTGGTGGACACAAAATCTGCTGCGTCATCTGCAACCAACCAGTTCATAACAGCTGCATTGGTCTACAAACACCATCTAAAGGATACACAATTTGGTCATGCAATCGTTGTGGAGAATCAACAATAAAGTCAGTATTTCAATTACTGCGGGAAATGCAGGGTAAACTGGATACCTTGTCAAAGCTACCCTAAAAAAATTCAAAAGATGGAGGATGAGCTCCAAAAGCTCAGAAGCAAGCCTAAATTTAGCTCAGTGGTGCAGAAGAATTTACAAACCGGTGATACAACTATCGAAAAGTCTCTGTGTGAAATAAGAAATAGCGTAAGACTGAGAATTGACAGTCTTAATAATGCCAAAAGATGAAAACCTGAAGATTGGGATGAAGCAAACCCAAAAGAAGACTTTTTAAATGGTCTCCTCTGACAACAGGTACAAAATAAAGTCGCCATGACTTTTTAGGAGTGAAAAAACCTAAAGGAAGGAGACACATATATTGTCATACCGCTATGTCCTCAAGGTATGAACTGCTAATCCTTGACTCCGTATGGATAGATAATATCGAGCTTGAGAGAGAGAAGTTAAAACAACTAGTTAATGTTAACGTTTATTCTCATTCTGAACCGTAGTTCTCTTTAGACGCCGTTCTCGTCCTTGCTATCAAGGTCAATCGACCAGTACAAATTTATATTATATAATATCAAAACATAAATGATGTATAAATACGTACGAAGTTTTATATGGAGTTTTATCTATCCATGCCGGATAACATTCCCCCTCCTCGGGAAAAATTATAAAGTTTTTAATTGTTTTTTAGTCCCCGTGGGACTGTTTGTTCTGGTTATTCTTAACTCTCCTCTTGTTTCCGCGGTGTTGTTATCGATGTTGTCATCTATTGCTCCGTGCTCTTCTTCATTATTTGGCTGTTTGTCTGCTTGTTCTTGCTTTTTCACTTCTATGTCCTTCGTGTTTACACATAATATGTCGTCGTTTTCCATCGTTTCGTCTTCTGCGTCCGCTGGTGACGTTAGATCTATCACGTTGTTTGTAGAGCTCGGTTTGTGTTTTGGGCTAATAGCCTGTATAAATTGCACACAATACTTGTATTCGGGAGTTTTTTTCCGAAAACCCCATTTCCTGTATCAGAGATTTTAGGCTTGGCGAGTCTTGTTTCGATTTTTCTGGTGGTGAATAAAATTCGAATTGTTTTATCCCGGTTGCACTCGTGATCTGTTTTGTACTGGTTGAGATGGGGTTACCTAGTGCTGTCGCTAATGTCGGCTGTCGGTTTCTAGTTGACTTTCTTTTTGCGGTTGCAGGTGGTGTGTTCTTTTGATTTTGTCGCTTTGGTGATGGTGAGGTGGTCTCCTCCGATGTTGACGACGAATCATCTTCCTTTTCTGAGCTTTTGTTTGTTATCTGTTCAATCTCCGTCTGGAGGCTCATCCCTCGTGGCGTTTGTAATTTTCCTACTGATTTTCCTCCAGTCCGCTTTCCTGTCGCTTTTCTTTTTGTGGGACTGATTTTGCTTGTGATCTGGCTCTGTGCTGTCTTCTCTTGAATTGTCAGCTTGATTGGCAGCCCCGTTGTGGTGTCCTCCTTGAACATGGGGTGTTAAGGAGCTTGCGGACCTTTTATGTCTAAAAAACGCAGGCATGATCCTGTTCTCCGTGCGGATTTATAAACAACATAATCGCTCAAACGAGAAGGTCTGCAAGGTCCGTATATTACAGGGTTAGGACAAATGCTGTTCCGCTATTTCTTAGTATTCTCGTTTGTTCGCCAAAAATTTGTACCCAAGCAGTTTGTGGTGTGTAGGTTAGAATTTTTCCATCTATGATCTTATATTTTTGTTCAAATATTTTTGGGTTTTTAACTTTCGTTGCTAACCGGATAATTTTCGTGCCACTTGTTCTATTCGTTTGTCGTTATTTTTGTCGATTGTTCATTGTACTCCCTTGTATCTTAAGTTAAGTTTGTTCTTAGCTAGTTCTATAGGTTTTGAGTATGCACATGTTTCTGGCTGTGTCGGTGAATGCCTGTTTGTGAGCTTCCTTGGTAGTGATTTATGTGTGACTCTAGGTAGTGATCCCTTCTTTCGGATTTGCACCTCATCCTCCGACCATCGCTCGAGGTCAAGCATAACTTCTGCTTGCAGAGGTGGCTTCGGAAGATTCTTTCGATCTAAACACGCATGTTTTGCGCTCTCCCAATTTAGATTGTTAGGCGAGCTATTTGTGGCTATATTCGACAGCGGGGTATTTGGTATTCTCGGTACCCCGTTGTTAGAGATATATCTTTGCTTAAACTTGATTGCAACATCTGCTGTTGTGTTTGATACAACTTTTGCTGTTATCTATCGCAACTAAAATGTATGCATCCCTATTCAATTCGTCCGGGAGGGGCCTCGCGACGTCTAATTGAACTTCGTCATTAGGTTCGACTACCGGTTGCATTTGAAATGAAATATTCTTTCCTAAGATGGGTTTTAGATATTTACCTTGCTCTGTGCAGTGTTTGCAGCTTTGTGCACAATTGAACGATGGATGTGCGGGAACCAGACATGGTGACTCAAGTCCAACATGGCTGCTGATGGAGAGTGTCGAGTGCTGTCTGTCGCAGTTGGGATGGAATGACGATTCTTTCATCGATGAGTAAACAATCCTCACGGACATGTAGCCGGTTCCGAATGTTAAACCAATATTGTCCGTAGGAGGCTTTGATAGCTTCCCAGTCCCGCTTTTTCACGAAGTTGATCAGTGGACGCAGGTTTCGGCGATGAACGGAACCCCCCGTACTCGCTGGAGTTTTCGACGGAATAGCGGCTTGTCCTCTTCCGATTCGGTGGCTTTCTCCACTGTTGCCCCTACGTTATCCATTATTTCGTTGTGGCTGGCCTCTAGCTGTGACGAGGTTGTCATCGTTGGGTGTTGTTTCCTCTTGCAAACATACTGAACATGCTGACACACTTTTCCTTTTCCACTAGTGTATCGTCTCCCGTATTGTTGTCTGTTTGTGTAGCTGTAGTCGACTTGGTTGTTTCGTTTTCAACTTCTGCGTTGATCGTTGTTTTGGTGGCGGTGATTGATCGGGCTGTTTCCGTTTGTGGTTTATCCGTTTTTGAATTTTCTCTTTCCACCACGGTTGATTTTGATAACGAGCTGTCTCCAAAAGTAATTTTTGGAAAATTTGATTGTTTCGGTCTTGTGATCATTTCTCTTGCGTCGGGCACTAGCGCGGTTGAAGTGTATTGTGGCGATGATTTAGTGTTCTTCATCTGTTTTGCTTTGGGTGGTGGTCGCTTGTGCCACCTCGGTCAGATATACTTTCTTCCCGATCGGATGTAATTTTCCAGTCAACCGAAACTGTACGACCGCGTGGTTTGCGTGTTTTTAATTCTGCCGGAATGAATCCGCCTGAGAAAATTTTTGTATCTTTTCTGCTCATTGTTTTAAAATTGATCGCGTTGATCGACGTCTTGCCGCAGTTGAAATTTTTCGAATGCGAGAGAGTTGAGTGATTTTGAACAGAGTTTGAGTTGGACTGAATTCTGTTTTTGGGTAGCAATTGACCGCTGAAGGATTGTTTGGAATGTTTAGTAGTTAATTGAGCGTTTGTCCTAGCATCTAATAAGCTTTATTTTCCGCGCGCTTTGATCAGATCATATGGTGCTTTGTTTTGATTGGCCTTATTTAGAATGACAATGTCAATCATTTCTAGGTTGTTTATGAATGTAATAATTGCCGCTACTAAAAATTCCTTATCGTACTTACTGAGGGGTATTGGTAATCCAACTAGATTTTGTGAAATATAGTTTATTAAGCCCATTTTACTCACTGCGAGGTGCTTAATATCAAAATGAAATGGTATTAATTTATCAATCCAGCGGGTTAGTCGGCTTTGACTTGTCTTTGATCGTTCGCTGGCGTTTAAAGCGCTGATTAAAGCTTGGTGATCGGTGACGACGGTAAAATATTTGCCGTAAAGGTACTACTTGTAGTGTTCAATTGCCCATACGGCCCCTAAGTGTTCAATTGCCCAAATGGAGTTTAAAAATCGTGACGCGTATGCTATAGCCACCCAACCTTCTGCTGAATGCTGTTCTAATGCCGCTCTTAAACCTGTGTTAGATGCATCACAGACGATGCGTGTATCTAAATGATGGTCGGAGTATTTATTTTGTGTTATTTTTGGTACCAGTTGTAAAATGTTTTTGAAAGCTAAGTTATGTTCAGGTAACCAATTGATAGGTATGTTCTTTTCAGTGTTTTTTAGCAGAAGCCATAGAGCTGCCGCTGCTTGTGCTAGATTTGGTATGTATCTTGTAAGGTAGTGTATTGAACCCATGAAGCTTTTAAGTTGTTTGAAAGTTTTGGGAGGCGATAATTTTTCAATCGCTTCAGTTTTTTTTATAAGAGGTTTGGTTCCCTCACTGTTGATAGTGAAACCTAACCACTCAACTTGCTTGCATGCGAGCTTAGACTTGTCTGAAGAAATCGCAAGATTCTCCTCGTCGAATTTCGTTAGAACTGTTTGGAATTTTTGGCGGTGTGTCTTTATTGTTCCTTTTGTTA